TGGCAGAGGACGCTACTCACCGCTGCAGTGACCCATGCTAAACCCCACACGCATCTTTATTATTAGCATTAGCGTTGTTATTGCTATGTAACAGCAGGCTGAGTCCAGGAATCACTCACCCACGTCATGAATGAAGCGCTCAATCTTGGACTGCATCCCCCAGTAGCGAAACTCCACTTTGCACAGCTTGTACGCACACATGACGGGGGTCTTCCCGGGGTTGTTGTTGATTTCGGTGATCCAGTCGTCAGACAGCGGGCCGCGCTGCGTCTTGTTGGACTTGTAGAGTTTGGGGTCCTCCTCCACCAGATACTCATGAGGGGCGATGAAATCTTTCACGATATCGATGGGATCTGCCAAAAACACGGGCTTTCATTAACAATCACAGCTTTATAGGGGAACAAGGCATGGCTGGTGAACAGGCACACATTTGATCTGGTCAAGCACAGCTCATCAGAGCATCAGAGAGGGTTTATAGATCTGCTGAACGGCTGTTAAACCGCTTTATCTGTGTGTTCTGTGTGTCGTAAAGCTCGTCCATTATTATAGCAGTGTTTGGATAAGGAATCGAGATGTTCCACTGACGAAAAGCTCATTACTGTTCATTCGTCCAGTGGAGACTTCTCTGTGGAGAGAGTGATGTGCAGCACTAACGACAGCACTGCTGAGCTGGAGAACTACAGTGAAGCGCTCCGGTGCTCCGGTTCCCCCACAGTCCAAACACATGCGCTATAGGGGAACTGATCAACTACACTGGCCATAGTGTATGAGTGTGTGTATGCGTGTGTATGGGTGTTTCCCAGTACCGGGTTGCAGCTGGAAGGGCATCCGCTGTGTAAAACATATGCTGGAATAGTTGGTGGTTCATTCCGCTGTGGATAAACCCCTGATCAATAAGAGACTAATCTGAAGGAAATATATAAATGAATGAGTATAACATCTTTAACCAGCAGATCTCTGACTGAAACATGAAGTGGAACAATATACACCAAATATAGAACACAGTATACTGAACCTATAATGAATGTACAGTAATGAACATCTGACTGTGTTATTATCTAATAGCTGACTGTTTTAAACGGCGACAGAGCTGACGGCAACACACAACAGAGATTAAACTTACACTTCATTATTCGCTGAATAAAGGATTCAGGAGGTGATCAAACACAGGAACAGTGCAGTCTTAAAGCTAAATATGCAGACTCAATGTCCTTAAATACAAACATTATTTCCAGACATACAGTAACATGTTGATATTATTTACACCATAACTCAAAACTGTCGGATTAAAGTTTTTGTTTTGGACAAATAATGCAAGAAGACACAAAACACAATTCTAGAATCACCCAAACACTTCATCTTATAGTCCAGTTAAAGGGTCAGTTCATCCTCAAATCAGCGTTTACTCAGCATTTACTCTCCCTCAGGTGCTTATGAAGCTTCAGGAGTGAACACACAATCAGATATTTTAAAGAAAAACTAAAGCCGGTAACCATTGACTTCCATAGTAGGATAAACATATGAAGAGTTCAGATGCCAAAGCCGCTAAACGCATGAGCTAATGGCATTGAGTGAACGCTTTAGGCATGTACTACCTGTTCAACAAATACTTTCACTTCTAATCATCTGAATCTCCGCCTCAGCGCATTCACAAATAACAGTTTGTTGGCAAAAGCCGCTAAACACCACCGGCCTTACCCAGCAAATATACCCGCTATACCCTGAGAACCAATCAGAAGATGCATCAACCAATCAGAGTCATGTGTTCACTGTAGCAGAGCACTGACACGCGGCTGGGCTTTATGAGGAGACTGATTTATCCCGCTTTCTATTTTAAAAGACGCAGTTTGATGAGCTGGATGAGGCTGTCCGACTGTCAGTAAACGGCAAATGAAGACGCCCCTCACCTTAAAACTCTGAGCATTATAAGAAGAAGAAAACACACGGTACAGTCGGGAGTGCAGCATGTGTTCATAAGGTTTGTTTGTGTAGCGACACTA